GATAATCATGTGGTAAAGGCCTGGGGGGTGGGTGGGAGTGTGGTGGAGGGGGGTCAATGGGGGAAGTAAAGAGGGACGTCTGTAATACTTTCAACAATAAAGATAAATTTAAAAAATAATTAAAAATAAAAAAGTAAGTGCTACTGTTTGAAGGGGAGATGCAATCACAAGGAAAAGAGAGTGAGGAGAGAGAGCGGAGAGGTACTATTTGGTCTTTGATTCCCAACATTCCCTACATCAGTTGGGTGGCTACACCGCAAAGGGGAGAATTTACACATGGAAGACAATGCAGCTGTAAAAAAGAGGTCCCTCAGTCACAGGGACCTCTCTGCATAGCAGCTCCCCACCGCAGACCCTGGCATCAGAGGACAGAAAGAGGGCAGTGTGTCTCCGCTCCCTGTCATTGCCTGTCTCTCATTGTCCAAAATTTGCCCCACTAGCAGTTAACTCCTCATTTCCAGCTGTGTCCCCTGAGCTTTTCAGACACCCACTGGTGAAGCCATAGGGCACACCCTGTGCCAGGCACTTCATTCCTGCCTAGAAGTGCTGGGAGGAGTCAGAGCCTTGGGGGCCTATCAGGTCAGGGCAGCCTGCTGGAGCCTGTGTCTTCCATCAGATGCCAGCACTCATCCTGGGGGAAGGAGGAGAGGATACCTGTGCTGCTCTTACATGGGGTGGCAGTGGCCATGATTTGCAGGTGGCAGCAAAGGCTGGGACACTTTCCACAAACTAGTAGCAAAAAGGCTAAGACACAACAAGGCCCAAGAAAACATGGCCCAGGCACGTATCACATGGGAAGATTCTGACAAAGGAGGTGTCAACACAATAAAACTTCCCAAGAAAAATAAATAAATTCTGCCCAAACTGGAAATAGAAAGCTGTAGGACCCAGAACTAAGTGGTTAATAGCCACCTGTCCTCCCAACAGAGCGAGCAGAATTAAGTCAGATATGCAATAATGGTAACCCCTAGACAGAGTATTTGTCTTCAGCTGATATGCGTAAAGAGAAGCAACATGGAAATCAAATTAATCTTCCTCTGAGATTAGGATTTTAGTGAGGCTGCCCAGGACTAAGACAAGATATAAAGAGAACATAAGACATTGTTTATGCCTAGAAATAGTTATCTTGAGGGGAAAAGATCCATATTGACTTTGACATGTAAACATATTCCTGCACACATAACAAGGAAAGAGCATTCACTGAAGGAAATGCCACGTTGGAGGAGAAGCCGAGATGTTTGCAACTGTTTAATTGCATAACCAACACTAACAACATTATTTTAGTTCGTATGTGTTTGCTATAAGAACGTAGAAATTTACAGCTCAAAAATGATGACAAAACATGTCTGTGTCTGCCTTGTATGCATATATGCATAACCCATGGACACAGACAATAAGGTGGTGAAGGCCTGGGCGGGGGGTGGGGGCAGGCTGGAGGGCGTCAATGGGGGAAAAAGGGGACATAGGTAACACTTTCAACAATAAAGATTTTTTAAAAAACGGCAAACATGTCTGTGTCTGTCTCTGAGCTTTGAGTGAGTTCGGTCCTGGGACACATGGGGTCTTGCAAGATTCATCATCTAAAGTGCTCCTGAAGAGGAACTAAGAGGGCACAGGTAAATGCCCGTACTCACCACCTCCCACAGCCACATCAAAATTACAACGAAAATAAAAAACAACGATCACTCAGAACCGCCTGGAAGCTGGCTGAATGGAAGTCCTACAACTAGAGGAGAAGAAAGCACACAGACTGGTAGGAGGGCTGGTCCGACACCCATGTGTGCTGCCTTTTTAATTGGGAGGGAGACCCGTGAGGAGCAAGGGTCCCAGTCCCATACCAGACCCCCAGCCCAGGGTCCCAGAGCTGAGAAGAGAAGTCCCTGAACTATGGGCTGTAAAAACCAGCAGGGATTGGGGCTAAGAGACATGGAGGCTGCTGGAATCCCAGGTGTCCCTCTTAAAGGCATGAACTTACTCAGACTCACTTTCTCTGAGCTCCAGCGCCAGGATGTGTTGGGGGACTCAGGCATATATGGTGAGGAACTGGATTGTCTGGTATCAGGGCAGGAACTCGGAGTGGCTTTCTCCCAGATGGGGGTGCTTGCAAGGGTCATTGTTCCAGTACTGGGACCTCCCTTGTTGCAGGGCTGACTGGCAGCCATTTCTGTTTTCTCTGCCCTGGTGATTCCCTGAGATCCTGGCCCATCTAACTTGCAGCCCCACCCAACCTGTTTGCATTGGCTTTTGCATATGAATGGCCTGTCCTGGCTAGGACTTCAGACTTCCCTAAATCAAACTGCAGCTGGGTCAGCATACCCCAAACCTATCAATAAAAGGCCCAAGACCCAGCACTAGCACCAGCCTGCCTTGCTTCACAGCTGGGCCTTGCCTGTGCACCTTCAAGTCCAATACAAATGGCTCCTGCAGGGTGGCCCCAAGAAGTGGCTGACCTTGCACCTCCCTGGAGCTCTAGAGCCAGTAACCTGGGGGACAGCTTCAGATCACAACAGATTACAACTCTACAGGTCCATAAGCAACACACTCACGGGGCAGACTCAGTGAGCACCGAAGCCCCACTGAAGCAAGTCCTGCGCCACAGGGGTGTCTCCTGCACAGCAGCTCTCCCCTGTAGTAGCAGCTGGTCCTCACAGCCAATTGGCTTGGAGGTCAATTCCTCCCCATGATGCCAACAGCAATCAAGGCTCAACTACAAGACTGTGCACACAGCCCACGCAGGGGCGCACCTAGAGTGCCCAGCTCAGGTGACTGGGGAGGCTGAACCACTGGGCCCTACAGGACACCTAGTATACAAGGCCACTCTACCCATTCCAGGAGATATAGTAGTTCTACCCAATACATAGAAACCAACACAAGGAAGCAGGCAAAATGGAGAGACATGTCACAAATGATGAAATGAAAGCAAGCAAACTTTTGGATACAAGTTCAAAAACCATGGTTATAAGATTACTCAAGGATCTTAGTGAGAAAAGCAAAGACATAAAAAAGGACCAGTCAGAAATTATGCATACACTGAGATAAAGAATAATCTACAGTGATTCAACAGTAGAGGATTCCAAAAATCAAAACACCCAATCTGAAGAGCAAAAAGAAAAAAGAATTCAAAAATAGGAGGATAGTGAAAGGAGCCTCTGGGACACGAGCAGTACGGTGCTGGAGGTGGCTAGGACCTGCTCATGAGTTTCAGGAATTACATGTGTTGGTTATTAAACACAGCCTTTAGTAAAAATTAAAGTACAGAAACTCATTATGTTAAAAACAAGGGCAGCAGATCCTCAAAACTCAACCCTCCTTAATTATGTCATTATATTCTACTATTGTCTACGCTCCCGTGATTATTTACTCCTATTGTTTGTTCTTGGAAACACTATACAATGGGCGCTACTGCGTATCTTTTCTGACAGTGAAGACACTTCATGTTGGTAGCCTGAAATCAACCATGGTGTATTTACACGGCAGAAATCGGCCAACACTGCAATCTAGGCCTTAATTTACTTTGATTGTTTACACCAGAAGCTGGCAAACCAGACACAACCTGTTTTTGGTTCAGTCCTTAAACTAAGAAGATTTTTTTACATTTTAAATATAGAAGGAAGAAAGGGGAGGACAGGGGGAAAAAGAAAACATGTGATAGAGACAGACATGGCTGCAAAGCCTGAGATATTTACTAGCAGGCCTTCACAATGAATGTTTCACAAGCCTGATGCAAAAAAAATTAATAATTCAATGAAACTGAGAAACTTCCTTGCTGGCTGTCAGCTCATAGAAGCAACCGCATTCCTTGTCATGTGGCCCCCTCGAGCTTCAAAGCCAGAAAGGGAGAACACCCCTGTATTGAATCCTTCTCAGGCCTTGAGTGTCTTTGGCCGGGAAGCACGCAGTCCCTGTTAAGGAAGGGCTCCCCTGAAAAGGTCAGGCCCACCGAGGCTAGTTACCCTTTCATGAAGTCAGCTGTGCATACAGCATCATCTAATCACAGCGTGGCATCCTGTAACATACATCAGACCTGCCCCAATCAAGAGGATGGATTATACATGCCTTTGGATCACAGCGTCATTCTAGAATTTTTCCTACTACAAGGAGAATCTCATAGTTTCTGTCATATCTACCTCTTTCATTTACATTATTATTTCAAGAAGTTAATGAAATCATGGATATATAATGAATTATATATATGAATCACTCATGTTTCTTCAACAGAAAGAATTACCACATCTGATTTGAGCCTCTTTATAAGTGAAAGCAGTATTTTAAGATTGATAGTTAACAAGAATTTACTTCAGGTGCAGAAATAAATCAATAACCAACCAGCTGTATTTTTCATGAGGTCCACCGAAACACTTGGTTAATAAAAACTTACGTCAGGTGTAGAAATAAAGCAATAACCAAAAAGCGGTATTTTTCACAACATCTGCAGAAACACGTGGAACCTACATGCATTTAGATGATAGGTAAAGAAAACTTTGCATCTGCCATTTCAAATGCCCAGGATGTCACCTCCAGCCTAGCTTTTTCACAAGGAAAATGCCCCTAGCCTTTGTTAAAACAGGACAACAGGCCCAAAATGGGCCTAGGCTAAGCCCATGCCACCAAACCAAGGCGTAACTGATTGCATTTTCAGCAAAACCAGGGGTGAAATCTTAGCCAGTCAGCCCGGAGCCACCTGAGCAGCACTGTTAGGCCTTCTGTCTGATGGACCACCGGGCGCCTAAAGAAAGGGGACTTTCGTAACCCACTCGCCTTTGGCCTGGTAAACTCCCCTGTTCCACCTCCTTCTGTTCAAAATTCTCATTTTGAACAGGGCCTCAGAGCACCTTTCTATCTGCTAGATGGGATGCTGTCCGATTCAAATAGATTTTTGCTCAAATAAACTCATATTTTTAAATATGCCCCAGTTTATCTTTTAACAGTTCTGGCCTCAGAAGAGGGAACCAAAGGAGACACCCCACGGCCCCCAGGAACAACGCAACCAGGACAGGTACCTGCAGAGCCCCTGGCTCGCTGCTTTCTCGCTGCCTCTGGAGGTGCCAGGCAAGGCCCCCGGGGTTCCTGGATCCTGCTCCCAGCTCTGCATAGGAGCTTTCAGACTGAGCACTGCTTGTCCTGGAGCGCGGCCTGAAACCCCAGGAGCCAGACTGGGTCAGACTTAGGCACCTGCTGCGTTCAGGGTCTGACTTGGAAACCTACTGTGTCCAGGCTCAGACTGGGACTGGGTCTGACTAACGCCGGAGTGGGGCCAGTGTGAGGCCTCAGGTGAATATATTTGGTGTGAGGGCTGAACAAGCAGGTTTACCTTATCAAAGAGAATCAAGTTAGAGTGGCCACAGTGGAGAATGTTTGACCTAGATGAGCTTATCCACTTACAAAGTGCCCAGTATAAAAGGGGTCTCATCGGGCACTCTCCATAAAAGATAAAGGAAAAATTATTTTTCTTCCTCTACAGTTTCAGGGGACTGGATGAGACCTTCTGGGACACCCCCTCAGTCCAGAACCTGCAGAAGGGACCCTGGGGAAACTGGCAGAAGCTGGCAAATGGGGAAAATTCTTACTGAATCAGCTCTCCCAGACCTTTATCTGTGAGGCCTGGTCGAGAGAGAAGTAGAATTTCATGTTGTCCTTTGTAAATTCCAACTCTCGTGAATTTGATTGTGGGGTACCCACTGGTTGTTGATTCTTCCTCTCCTGAGACAGCTATTGCCTTCTTTTTAATACATATTTAAAGAATAAGGCTTTTTATTACCACTGTGTGTGCCTGTGTGTGTATGCATGTATATGTTGTACGTATATGTGCATGCTGCATGCATACACAGCACGCACACACACACACATTTCATCTATTATCTCTGCCATATCTACCTTCTCAGCAGTGATTTTAAAAATCTAAATACTGCAGCAATGTTAATTATATTATCTTGACAGAACTTGTTTTCCCAGTAATTGCTCTGTGAGAATTAAATGCTAAATCAGCAAATTTCTAGAGTATTCAGTCAATCTGCTATTATGCAAGATTATGCCTTTTCTGTTAAATGGTTTCCAGAGGCTTACAAAATAGTTTAACTTTGTCCTACATGTGGATTAATTTCCTTTTTCTGGTTTTATTTACATATATTGTGAAATGATTACCATACTAGGTTCATCTAACATGCATCTTCTCATATAGAGACAAAAGAAAGAATAAAGGGGAAAAATTCTTGTGATAAGAACTCTTGGGATTTATTCCCTTAAACTTTGCTATACATCACACAGAAGCACTAGTTAGAGTCATCATATCGTACATGACATCCCTAGCACTTATTTATCTTATTAGTGGACGCTTTTATCTTTTGACTACCTTCCTCCAGTTCCTCCTACCCTCAGCCCCTGCCTCTAGTAACCAGAAGTCTGATCTCTTTTTCTATGACTTTTTCTGTTTTTTATTTCTCATTGTAAGAATTTTATTACAAAGGTCACTCCTAAAAGAATAATATGTCTTTAATAAATTTTGCTGTTTTTTTAGAGTCCACACATAAGTGAAATCATACAGTATATGTCTGACTTACTTCAGTTAGCATAATGCCTTCAAGGTTCATCTATATTGTCCCCAAAATTACAGGATTTTCTTGTGTGTGTGTGTGGTTTTTTTTCCAGCTGAATAATATTTCATTATATATATATATATATATATATATATATATATATATCACACAGCTAGTGGGCAGCAGAGCTGGGATTCTAAGGGAGGAAGTCTGGCTCCAGGTCATTCATTGCCTGCCCAGAGGGAGGAACTATTATCTACCTGGAGAATCTAATGATGTCCCTTGGCCACACCCTCTCAGCTGCAGGCTCTGTTCTGCATGCATCCCCTTCAGTCTCTCCTCTGGCTCCTCTGTTTTTACAGTTGGTTTCTTTCTAGCTCAGTTCTTTCAGGTGCACCCTTTAGTCTTTGGCAATGCTGGGCTCCCCGGGTCCATTCACATTTGAACCTGAAAGACACAAAGAAGCCAAGTTCTGAGAATGAGTTTTGGGCACTGAATGCAGGAAGTAAGTGTAGACATCTTGAGCTGGATTTTCCTGATTGTCTAATGCAGCCGTGGGCAAACTACGGCCAGCGGTTTGAAATGAATAAAACTATTGAAAAAAAAGACCGTACCCTTTTATGTAATGATGTTTATTTTGAATTTATATTAGTTCACACAAACACTCCATCCATGCTTTTGTTCTGGCCCTCCGGTCCAGTTTAAGAACCCATTGTGGCCCTCCAGTCAAAAAGTTTGCCCACCCCTGGTCTAATGTCATCACAAGGGCCCTTACAAAAGGGAAGCAGGATAGTCAGAGTCAGCGAAGGAGATGCGAGATGGAAGCAGAGGTCAGAGTGATCGGAGTCAAGGATTTCAGGCAGCCTTGAGCAGCTAGAAAAGGTAGGGAATAGGTTCCCCCTGAGAGCGTCCAGAAGGAACATAGCCTCAATGACACCTTGACTTTAGTCCTCCAGAGCTGAGGCTTCTGACCTCCAGACTGTAAGGAATAAATTTGTGTTGGTTAGTCACCAGGTTTGTGGCAGTTTTTTACCACAGTGATAGGAAACTGGTACATCAGAGCCTTCTCTATTCTTCATGACGGTGACTCCTTTCCAGTGTCCAGGGCAATTGTCCCATAGCACTCCTCACTGTGTCGGTTCCCTATTGATTAAAGTTAAACATGGGTGATGACGTGTGCCTCCCACTCATCACACCAAGAAGAAGATAAGGTCAAACTGTCCCACAACGGGTGATGCTAAATTTGGCCCTGGTTCAGGGTAGCTCTCTCATCTCCCCACTGCAAAGGCATATCCTTCTTCAGTCTGAATAAATAAACCGTAGGATATAACTTTAAGAACATGTGATTATCCTGCTCCTAAACAGCCATGCAACAGTTTTGGTGGCATGACAGTTATGTAAAATGCATTCTGGAAGCCTGGTAATTTTGCAGTGTACGCATTTTGAGCCTCTTGCTAATGGCATTAGAAGAAACTTGATGCTAATCTAGTTGTTCAGGGATAAAGTCAACGGTTTTGCTCGAGCTACTTAAGAAATCTGGTTTCACTGAGAATTTCCAAACATCCTGCAAATACACTTTTTCTAACATTTTCTGAAATGCAAGACTATGTGATCTGTTCATCCACAAATTGAGATACATGTACAGAGAAGGGATCAGGGTGCAGCTCTTTGTGTGTGTGCCCTGTGGACGTGCCCATCCACCTCAGAGTCAGTCCAGTCAGGGAGAGACAATCCCACGCACCAGCTGTCTCCTGTACTGCACCACAGAGAGGCAATGTAGCATATCTAAGGGTTCAGAGGAGGTTTCTGGAGGAGTGGGGAGTTGGTCCGGTGTATAATAAGTTCTGCGCAGTTGGGAAGACCATTTTACAAACTTGGTGGCTGAGTTTGGGAGACATTAAACAATTCCTGAGGCCACACTCAGCCAGTGAGCCAGGATTTGAATCCGAGGAGAAGCGTGATTATGTCTGTGGAGTATCAGGCCATCCTCATTTGTGTGCCACAGAGAGGATCATGAAGAAGACACTAAAGTTTCCTGGAGGCTCACCTGCAGCAGGTGCACAGTGTCCGTGGGGCAGGAGATTGGCATTAAAACCAAGGTTTTAAGCCTCCTGGGCCTCATCTGTGCACCTGGGGTAATAATAGCAACAATGGCGAGACCCAACATTTACTGTGGGCTTACTGTCTACATTTACTGCCACAATTTTCCTCATCTCTAAATCGGGAATATCAAGAATAGTCATGAGGATAATAAATAATAAGTACCATTTATTGAGCATTTATTGCATAAAAACCTCTGTTCTAAGAGAAACACACACCTTGGAGTTCCTCATCTGTGGTCTGGGAATAACAGCAGCAGTAATAATAAATGATAAGGACCATGTATTAAACACTTAATGGATTATAAACCCCTGTTCTAAGTGACTCACACAGCTCAGTTTCCCTCACTGAAGACTGGGAATAATGAATCATCGTAAGTGATAGCCAACATTTACTGAGTGGTTGCTGTGTGCCAGGTCCTGTACCCAGAACTCTATTCAGACAAATAGACAAGGCCCAACTTGACTGGGTCGCCAGCAAACCTTCCATATCATCTCCCTCCCTCTTCACCTCTTTGTGTTCCTCCTCGATGTTGGCCTCCAGATGCTCCCAAACACACTGAGCTCAGTCCCCCTCACAGCCCCGGCATGCACCATTCCCTCTGCCCATGCACATCTCCCCAGATACCCACAGGACCCACTGCACTTGCCCGCTCACCTTCCTGCTCAGACATCACTTCCTCAGCGAGACCTTCCCTGACCATGTCATGTAAAACCCAGGACCCACAATAGTGCTTATTGCTGCTGCAAAAGAGGCATCCAGCAAATGCTTGCTTAATCAGTACCTGCTTACAAAGTGGCAGCGGCCTGGCGCAAGGTGCCTTTTGGAATTGGGTATCGTCCCTCCCCTCCACCCCCTTCTGCCCCCCCATCCCCAGCTTCCTGAATAGCTGACATACAGCCCAGCTAAGTAAGTGAGGGCAGAAGCCCCAAGGAGACCTGAGGGAAAGCACCCCAGATGAGGGCCCGGCAGCATAGAGGCTCTAAGACGACAACGTGCTAGGACAAGGGTGGAAAGCTAGAACCTAACGTGTGAGGGGAAGCCCAGGTAGGCAGCAAGTCTCAGAGGCCCAAGAGGTCAGTCAGCAGGAGTCTGTGGGGAACGCAGGGACTCTAGGATTTTACGCTGAAACACAGGAATCCGACACGACCTGATGCGGGTTTTTAACACGTTTCCTCTTGTTCGTGTTGGCAAAACAGACGGTTCAGGAACCGGAGATGCAGCGGTGGAGATGGGGCGGACTTGACTCCTGAGCTGCTCAGGTACCTTCATTGTTGAGCTGGTGAGAGCACCCGCAGGGCCTGGGGGCGGAGTCCGGACGAGGCCCCGCCCATGGCGCGTGGAGCCCCGCCCCGTCGGCCCCGCCCCTCTCCATCAACCCAGGGACTCCTGGAGCACAGACTCAGGCCGCGAGGTGAAGGACCGTCTGAATCATTGCCTTTATTTCTCGGCGGGCCTTGCAGCTGGGGATCGGTGGGTCCCACTGGCCTAGGGGGACCACAGGGCCAGCTCCACCAGCGGCTCCAGGTCCTCCTCGTGGCGGGCGCACAGGGACTCCGGGTCGGGCTGCCGGAGCGCAGGCAGAGTCAGGCTGTCAAGCCTGTGGCTGCCTTTGCCCCGTCACCGTCAGCACCCGGGGATGCCCTGCTCCCCACAGACCCTCCTTCCGAGGGACTCTGGGGACATCCCCGCCCGCTCTGCCTCCCTCTCTGCCCGTCTCGCCTCCATCCCTGGCTCCTGACCTCTTCTTTGTGGGCCCAGTCGCCCGAGGGGCTCTGGGTCTGGGTGGGGACTTGCCCCCCGGATTTCTCCAGCTCCACCTTCAGCCTGCAGAGAAGGGCCAGAGGAGAAGAGGGAGAAGAGAGCTAGAGTGGAGGGGTCAGAAGGAAACCACTGAGACCCAGTGACCTGACGAGGCCCAGGCCAGTCCTCCTGGGAGGGGTGGTCCTGGGGAGGCATTGGCCCATTCCCTTCCTCCCTGCCCCGTCCCCTGCCCAGGGCCTCCTTTCCCCTCACGCTTCGTTCACTGCCAGGGCGCCCTGGACCGTAGGCGAGGAGCCCAGCCTCTGCTCCACCTGCTCCAGCTTGGCCCTCGCTAAGTTCTCTGCAGAGGGTGAAGGGTGGGCATCATGGCGGGGCCGGAGCTCCCACGCGCCGCCGCGCCCCTGTCCCCCAGCCCACGCGGGAGTCCCACCTTCAGTGAGCAGCTGCTCCTTGCTGCTCTGCAGCGCGCGGATCTCCCAGGCCAGTCTCCGCTCCAGGACCTGCTGGAGAGAAGGGACCTGTCTAAGGTCTGTAGTCCTGGCGCCCTGCTCCTTCGCGCCTCTCAGTAAGTCCTTACTTGAATTAGGTCACTCATTCATTCAACTATTTATTAACTCAAAGTGCAGTTTCTGCTGCCGATGTCCCTTTGTACATCTTAAACCTTAGGTCCTGCCACTCCCCTGCCCATCCTCCAGTTTGCTCTTCCCCAAATGTCCAAGGTAGAGTTCAGCCTCAGGGCCTTTACATTGGCCTTTCCTTCTGCCAGGATATTTTTCACCCAGCTTCCTGCCTGCTTCCTCCCTTACTTCCTTTGTGTCTGCATTCGAATGTCACTTGTTGAGGCCTTCCCCAACTGATAGTACATGATTGTCTTATTTTCTTAGAGTATGGGTATGCCCCCCCTTGCCTCAAACCATCCTGGGGCCGGCAGACACTTGGCCCTTGGGTTCCCCACTGTCTCCTCCTGCCTGGAATGCTGCGAGATGCATCCAGGGACATTGGTTGAATGAAGGAACAATCTGACCATGGCTTTTTCCCATTTGCTACTGCAAGGTAAGCACACTCTAGGTGAGCAGGAGGGGAACAGGGTCAGCAATGGTTACTGTGAGAGTCTTGGCAATGTGTTGCAGTGGGGGATGGTGAGAGGTGGCCAGATTAAAGGTAAAAGCTGAAGGGTTGGGTG